GGCATAAAACTCAGTGGGAAGGTTCTGGATTCTGTCCCCACTACCACAATAAAAAAAAAAAAAAAGGTACATTCATTCAGACCAGCCATAAAAAAAAGAATGACACACTGCTACATGTGACAATATGGATGAATCCTGAAACCTTATGCTAGCTAGGTCAGTAAGAGATTATAGATGACAGAGTTCAAGGCTAGTCTGAACTACACAGCAAGACTCTCTCAAAAAATGTTTAAAAAAGAGATTATACATTATATTAAGAGATTATATTCTATATGACTATATTTATATGTAATGTCCCAAACAGGCAAATTTACAGATTGATAATCAGACTAGTAGCTGCTGCCTAGGGCTGGGGTTAGGAGTTTAAGAGACAATGGAAAATACTAAGTATAGGTTGGGGTTAAGCAATAAATATATTCTAAAATTGACTGTAGTGGTTAACTGTACCAGTCTAAATATACTAAAAATCACTAAACTGTACACTCTAAATAAGATGAATCATATCTCAGTAAACTGGTATCTGTATGTGTGTGTGTGTGTGTGTGTGTGTGTGTGTGTGTGTGTGTGTGTCTCAAACTGTTAACAGTGAATCTGGCTAAAAGATGTATTGGGCAGGATGTGGTAGTGCACACCTGTAATCCCAGCTACTTAGGAGACTGAAGCAGGAGGATCCCAAGTTCAAGGCCAATGTGAGCAACTTAGTGAGGCTGTCTCAAAATAAAATAGGCTGGGGTGATGTGGTTTGGTGGAGGAGTGTCTGCCTCACAAGCCCGGGGTCCTGGGTTCAATCTCTAGTACCAGAAATAGAAACAGAGAAAGGGTGAGGGTGAGGGAGAGGGAGAGGGAAAAAAAGGAAAGGGAGGAGAAAAAGGGGAGGGGAGAGGAGGAGAGGGGAGGGGAGGGGAGGGGAGGGAAGGGACAGGACAGCAAACAGAAAAAAAATAGGTCACAAGCATTCTAGAACATAATTCTCAGGTAGGGGAAGGGTAAACTGACACAGGAATCCTACATCAAGATAAAGCTTTCTGGATTTGGTGGCACATGCCTATAATCCCAGCACTTGGGAGGCTGAGACAAGAGAACTGCCCCAAACTGGAGGCCAGCCTGACTACATAGCAAGACCCTGTCTCAAAAACACAAAAGAGCACAAACAAAAAGATTAAGCCTTCCCCTGCAGTCACCTCTTTGAGACCATAAGAAGAAAAAAAGAAACTGAACATTCCCCAAGATACTTACATATCAAACAGGCATAAAGGACTGGACTTTACTATGATCTGCCTGTCCACTTAGGATGCACCAATAATAATGGAAAACATAAACTGGAAATAATTTTTCCAGTCTGGTGTATCTAAAAGGCAATAAGAAGATACCATTTTCTGAAGTCTGTCGATATTTGTGCTTCATAGATTACCTTCCTCTCCTTCAAACCTAAAGTATTTCCTCAAATAACCAGAAAAGAAAATTAATTTTCATACCTTTCTTAGTGGTTCACACATCAAAGAAATACATGACTTGCTTAATATGCTTGAGACTACAAGGAAAAGGAAGTGGTGACAGCAAGAGACACCTACAAAATCCAAAGATCTGAGTCTGCAAGACTCCAAGCTCCATACTTAACTATTGAAAACAAAGCAAGATGAATGTTAATTCTTCTCCACAAAACCAGAAGCAACAGTGAACACCTCTGATTTGCTGAGTACACTTTTTGAGAGTTCAGAAGTTATCTGAGGCATGTAATAACTTAAATTTGCTTAAATCAACTCAATACCACTGTAAAAACCTGAGTGCAATTCACGACTTGCTGCAGTTTCACTCACTGTGACATCATCACTTTAGAAACTGTAAGGCAGTGCTGAGGACAGAAAATACTCCCTTGAGTCTCAATTCGGACTGTACATACCTATTCGTATTCTATTTTGCTTTATTAAAAGACTCTGGGTAGTCCAAATTCCCCGATCAACCCACCAGAATGAAATTAAGGGGGAAAATACCCTTCAATCAGTGTCTATTCTAACAAAAGACACGTATTGGATAAATGGTCTTGGCAGTCCACTACTATAACCACATTTGAAGACAGAATATCTGCTTTACACATTTATAAAACTCATTCCCTTTATTCTCCCAATAAACTTGCACAGGAATATAATTTTAGCTTGCTATAAAGCTAGATAATTAACAGTTATTTAAAAAAGTAACCGTTCTTTTTGAATGAAAACATTTTTGAGGTTCTATTCGGTAAGATGCCTTTTATTTAAAAATGGAAACAAAGCTTTTGTAAATAAGAAAGAAAAGAGACACTGAAGAGGGGAAAGGAATAGAGGGGAAAGATACATCATGTATAGGTACAAATTCCCTATGATGAATGTCATCATTATGTGTATCAAAAAAGTACCAATAAAAATGTTTAAATGCAAAAAAAAAAAACCCTTTTATTTATATTCTCTTTCCCTCTGGCAGGGTCATCTCATTTGCCCTTGGTCACAGAAATAGTCAATAGTAGAGCAATAATGTGTAATCCCCAAACCCAAGTCCTCACTAACGGTAACTGCCGCGTGTCATTCCCACATTTATCATTTGTCAACCATCCTCTTTATCTTCTAGAACATATACAATTTCACAGACACTCAGAAGCACAGCACAAAAATAATGTACATTCCATCTCTAAATTTCATTAAGAATCACAGTATGTGGGGTGAGGGTAATTTTGTTTTGTTTTGCTTTGAGACAGGGTCTCTATGTAGTGCAGACTGGAGTTGGACTCATTATATAGCCCAGGCTGGCTTCGAATTCTTGACCATCCTCCTGCCTCAGCCTCTAGAGTGGTGGGATTAAGGCAAGTGCTGGATAAAATCCTGCATCACTACACCAAGTCCATGAATCACTGTGCTATTTTTAACCTTTCTCAATGTTAATGCTTTCTAAAATCCTCTGACCGGGACAATGAGATAACAGTTACACATTCAGAGAGGAGCACAATGCTGGGGATTTAGCTCAGTGGCATAAGCCCCTGCCTGGCAAGCCAGAGGTGGTGAGTTCAATCCTGGTACCAAAAATAAATAAATAAATTTTTAAAAGAAAGGAGCTGGGAATATAGTTCAGTGGTTCCATCCCCCATACTGCAAAAGCAATAAAATAAGCAGAACGTAGGTCCTACTGTTCTTATTAGGCCTCATTATCCTCTCTGAGGTCCATTCCAGTACTAATACCTGGAACTGAATTCCAACAACTATATAACCCCAAATCACAAATTTAACACATAAAACAGATGATCAACATCTGTATTATGTTTGTTTTTGTACTATGGTACTAAGGATGGAATCTACGGCCTTCTTAGTGAGCTATATCTCAATCTTTTTTTTTTTTTTTTTTTGGTACCTGGGATTTAACCGACTGCGCACACTTGCAAGGCAGTAGCTTAAGCAGCTGAGCTAAATTCCCGACACTCTCAACCTGTTTTTATTTGGAGACAAGGTTTAAATTGCCAGGCTGGACTCAAACTTGCGATCCTCTTACCTCAGCATCTTGCACTAGTGTGCGACACCAAGTCCAGCTGTATTATAAGAATTTGAAAACCTGAAACAGTGAACTTGAAACAATAAAGCACCCCAATAATGATTTACTATTAATTCCAGTACTGCATCACGATTTTTCTCCATTTACTATTAATTTGAGAAAACAGCCTATTTTCTTTACTTTGATAAAGCATCAATTATCTGTATTGCGGGGACTGGGAGAGGGAGAACAGGCCAAAGTCTGAGTTGCTAAATTGCTTAGGATGGACTCACATTTGCAATTCTCCTACTGCAACCTCCAGAGTTCTGGGATTACAGACGTGCAAGACCAAATCTGACTTGTACTTAAAAAAAAAATTTTTAGCATTTGAAGTGTACACCTAATTTTTCTCTTAAGAAACCCTGGAAATTTTCTCACAACTAAAATGAAAAAAAAAAACCTTCTGTCATATATGAAACAAAATTAGTCAACAGGGCAATCACTTGCAAAAAAGAACCTTTAAAGTATACAGTAACTACATCATGACAGTAAAGTAGAAGTGAGCTTCCCTGATCAAATCAGGATGACATAACTTGAAAGAATACAACAAACCTCCACCCATTCGAAACCCTGGTAACTGGACACTCCAGACAAAAACTTTCCAAACTGCTATAATTGAAAGGCGTGAACGGCAGTGCAGTGGAATTCAGGGGGATTTTATCATTCTGATACCTTTCTGCCTTGAGTGCTAAATCTGGTCAGGGATCCACCATCATAACATCCCCACTAGCTCTTTGAAAGACTTGGATAAGCGAATCATCACAACACATCCCAGCCTCTCCAACTAGGACGTTGCCTTTTTCTTCACAAATGAATCTAGTCTCATAAAGGGCACAAATAACTTCATAAAAGGCATGACCCCAGAGTACAAACAAGCCCTTTCTTGTGCCAAAGGAGTTCCTATCCCTCTTGATGTCGTCCAAGTTCACTCCGTGCCTTCGTTCTTGTCCCAAGCAAGGAGAAGGGCAGTGCTGCAATCGGTAGGAAAACCCCGGGGCCCAGCGGATGGGCTGGGTTCTAACGGTTTTGAGGAACTGGTCTCCAGGGATCTTGGGGCGAGGCCAGACAAACTCATCAAGTTTTTGTTTTGCTTTTTAAAGTATGGGTGGAACTTACTTTCACTAGGACATAGGACGCCTCCCCCACCACTCCCACGATTGTTGGAGGATACGCTTTCCACTATTTTGTAACAAGTCCGGAGCTCCGCCGGGCTGAGGGAACACAAGCCTTTTCGCGGCGGCCGCCGACGCGGCGCCAAGGGCCGGAAGGGCGCTCGGACCCCGCGGCAGGGGCAGAACCCGAGCCCGTCCCCCTCGGCGAACGCGCCGCCTCGCGCCTGGCTGACCCACAAGAGCCCGGCTGCGGGACAAAGCGGGGACGGAGAGGCTCCGCCGTGCTCCTCGGCCGCAGCAGGCGCGGGAAAGGGCCCGGGCTCGGCGCGCACTCACCCGACAGCTCGTCCGGCTCCAGCCCGGTCTCGGTGTCCAGTCCGCAGATGACGAAGTAGTCGGCGAAGCGACTGGGCGCAGAGCCCCCTCCGCCGCCGCCGCCGCCGCCGCCGCCGCTCATGGCGCCGGGGCCGGGCCGGGCCGTGCGGAGCGGCGCGGAGCCCCCGCACTCGGGCGCCCGCCCGCCTCAGCTGCCCCTCTCACCGCTGCCGCCGCCGCTGCTGCCGCCGCCGCCGCCGCTACCGCGGTTCGGGCCGTCGCCCCCGCCCCTGGCCCGGTCCCTGCGGCCGCCGCGGCCGTGACGGGGCAGGGGGGCACCGGGCCGCCCCGCGCCGCATCCTGGACGCCGTCCCTTCGCGCCGCCGACTGAGAGCGCCACGGCCCGAGCGAGCCTGGAGCGGGCAGAAAGCGCCCGGGAGCCCCCGCCGCGCCTGCGCACGCGCCGTCGGGGAGGGGGCGGGACCGGGCGGAAAGGATGACGTGATGCTCTTAAGGCCCAGTGGGCCGCAGCTCCCCGGGTGGCCGCCGCAACGCGGTCCAAGGCTCCCCGCCACCAGCTACCGCCGCCCCGTGGGACTGCGACTCCCCTGTGGAGGGACGAAGTTCGGGAAGAGTGGGCGGATCCTGCTGAGCCGCGACCCGGGCCTGTGCTGGGCTCCGACCCATCCACCCCTCCCCTCCCCGCTGAGGTCCGGTTATCTTAGCCCGCCCCTGTCACCCGGGATGGGGTTGCAGGACTGAGCTGCGAAGCCCACAAGGTCCTGTCTCCAGCTGCCACCCTAGACCTCACACAGTGCCCTCTCTCTATACTGCTTGTTGTCTGTGCTGGGCCTCTTCTCCCATAGGGTGCAGGATGCCCCTTGTTTTGGCCAGAGGGGTGTTCATGTATTTACACTTAAGTTACAAATAAAGAAACTGAGGCTCAGAGAAAAGCAAGAGCCTCCACGTTACACTGAGTTTAAGAGACAAACCTGGGCTAGGATCCTGTGCTGTCACTCAGCTTATCGTTCCCCATACACCATCAGAGCCTTTTCTCCTCCCCAAACTCCCATGCCAGCCCACCCTGTTTTTCTCCCTCAAGGCCTCAGGAGGCCCTGCCACTTGGAAGTTGCCTTCTCTTCCTGGCAGAGGATTCTCCATCCATCCCTGAGCCTTCTTCCTGTATGTGATGAGGCAGAGAGAAACTTACCTTCTGATCCTTGTCTTGGGACCCTGTGATTTTGTTTCATACATGAGCTATCAACACATGTGTCCTTGTTGGAGAGGAGCTCAGAGACCAAGAAGACAACATTATAGTGGTTACTAGCGTAAAAGTCTGGAAGCAGCGCTCAAATTTAAAGCCTGACTGTGTCATTTACCGTGTGACCTTGGGCAAAGTAGTTACTAAGTGCCAGAAGTCATGGTTTTTGTGAGGATTACATAAGACTGAGATGCATGGATAGGTAAAGTGGTGAGAATAGTATCTGAAACAGAGAAGTCCCTTGGTAAATATTGCACTGTGTTATTATTGTTCCAGAAAGAGGTGTGCTCAAGTTCTTTCCTGGCAAGCTGCCACTAAAGGGCCACAAGGCAGTTGACTTCCCAAGGATTCAATGTTAGCTTTCCCCTGAGTGTTCTCTCAAGCTCCCTTGGGGAGTATGGCCTCGAGGTCACAGCCAGCATGACTCGTCACTTGAAACCATAGCACCTGTCCCTCCCTGTATTTTACCTGCCCAAACTGCTAAGAGAAAGGTAGGGAGAATAGGTGTTGCTCACCCTATCCTGCATGTGGGGACACAGAGACAGCATTGGGGATCAGAGGGCTCAGTAGTTAGCACAGAAACTTGGCATCCGCCCAGAAGGGGCATGGGAAGGGAGCTTCCAGGAGCTGCACTCTGACCTGAGATTGGAAGGATCAAGAGGAACTTCTCAGGTAAAAAGAGAGAGGGAAAGAGATATTTGATGCAACCATGTGCAAACAAGAATGACAGAAAATGGTGTTCAGGTGACAGCAAGTAATGCATGAATATGAGAAATGAATTAAAAGGTACGGAACCAGGAAGGAGGAAGAGGGACAGGTCAAGGAAGGTTTCAAACCAGGCATGGTGATGCATGCCTGTAATTCTAATACTCAGGAGGCTGAGGCAGGAGGATTGCCAAGAGTTCAAGGCCAACCTAAACTAATAGCACGACCCTGTCTCAACCCCTGACAAAAGGGCTTCAAATGCCACATATGGTGGCACATGCCTGTAATCCCAGCAATCAGAAGGTTGAGGCAAGAGAATTTCTAGGAGTTTGAGGCCAGGCTAAGCTGCATAGTGAGACCTTATCTCAAAAAACAAAAATAAATAAATTAAATACACATTGAAAAATAAATTTTTTGAAAGAAATTATCCTTGGGGCTGGGGGTTTAGCTCAGCGGCATAAGCACCTGCCTTGCAAGCAGGCAGTCGTGAGTTCGATCCCCGGTACCGATAAAAAGGAAAAAGACAGAAAAAAAAGAAAGAAATTATCCTTGCTGGGCATGGCAGCACATACGTGTAATCCCAGGACTCTGGGAGCCTGAGGCAAAAAGATCATAGGTATGAATGAGCCCAGCCTGGGAAACTTAGGGAGGCCTTGTGTCAAAATAAAAGTAAAAAGCCTAGGAATATAGCTCAATGTAAAAGTCGTGAGTTCAATTCCTATTACAAAGAGAAAGAGAGAGAGAGAGAGAGAGAGAGAGAGAGAGAGAGAGAGAATCTAAGCCAAGGAGTAGAAAGATCTGACCCACATTTTAGAATGATCACTCTGACAGTAGCAGAGAAGAGACTTGAAAAAGGAATAAATGTCACCCTGTTCCAAGTTTAAAAGTCCAGTTCCAGTGTCTCCAAGGTAACCAGGTGCTAAAAGATCTCTGACACTCACTAAACTCTTAAAACACAAGTTAAAAACAAAACCATGACTATTAATTTGCCCTGGGAAATGTAACTGCTTAGAGGCCCAGAATACCCAACTGTAAAGTGATCTTCTTCCCAGTAGGAAACATGTTTGGCAGAATGATTGCTTCTTAAGAGAATCAGGAAATGCAGAGCTGGATGCTCTTACGATTTAATGCTTAGATCTCCACCTCCACTAATACTGTGTAAACTGAGACACACCAGTTAACCTCTCTGGACTGCAAATCATTATTCTTATTACTCACTGACTGCTCCAAAGATTCACAAGTTAATTTTTAAAAAAATAATTTAAAAATACTTTCTGTATCTAGGATATATAAATTTATGGGTTTTTGTTGTTGTTGTTTGGTTTTAGTTTTTTGTTTTGTTTTGAGATGGGCTCACTATGTAGTTCAGGCTGGCCTTCAACTCAGTATGTAGCCTAGGCTGGCCTCAAACTCAAAGTGATCCTCCTGCCTCAACCTCCTGAGTACTAGGATTACAAGCATGGGATAACACACTTAGCTATGATCTTAATAAATGGCAACTGTGGGCTGGGGATTTAGCTCAGTGGCATAAGCGCCTGCCTTGTAAGCAGGTGGTCGTGAGTTCGATCCCCGGTACCGATAAAAATGAAAAAAGACCAAAATAAATAAATAAATAAATAAATAAATAAATGGCAACTGTTTCAACAAGAAGGACGTGAGAGAGCTTTATGATGTGTGGAGAAACATAATTCTAGGAAAGAATGGGGAAGAGAACCCCTGGGGTACCTGTGGAGCAATAAGAAGCCTGGACAGCTGGGGAAGGTTAGGATTGGAAAGAGATATAGTGGGTGGGAGAAAGTATGGTGAAATAGGCCTTTAGTTAACTTCCATAGTGTGTGGAGTTGTCCCAGGGCGGCAGGTAATGTCAGGGACACTTCTGAGTCCCACTTGCATCCTGATGTGGCCATGTAACTAGTTCTCACCCAGGAAATGTATGCACATGCTTACTTGTGGGCCTCCAGGGTCAAGGCATTGAGAAATGAGAACTTCACGCTGGATATGTAGCTCAGTGATAAGAAAGCTGGCCTAACATGCATAAGGCCCTGGTTTTGAAATTTTCTTTCTTTTCTTCTTCTTCTTCTTCTTTTTTTTTTTTTTTTTTTTTTTGGTCTTTTTCGTTTTTATTGATACCAGGGATCAAACTCACTACTGCCTGCTTGAAAGGCAGGTGCTTATGCCGCTGAGCTAAATCCCCAGCCCCCTTGTTTTTTGTTTTTGTTTGTTTTTGAAATTTTCAAAGTAATGAAAACGTCAAATGAGGTTTCTCCTTTCTCTCTCTCTCGTCTTTGCCTTCTGTCAGGTAGAGGTACAAGAGTCACAGGATCTCAGCAATGGCAAAACAGAAGATTGAAGGGTCCTGAATCTCTGAATCAAGCACACAGTGGAAAGACTCCAGTTAACACCACACTGTTTTGTGGAGGAAAAACAAACTTCAGTTACACCAAGCCACTGAAGCTGTTGGGGTTCATTTGTCATAGCAGCTAGGATTATCATCACCATGACAGACTGGGAGTGAGTGAATAGATTGCTCAGAGCCTTGAAGACTATTATAAAGGTTTTACAGCCAGGCATGCTGGCACACACCTGTCAACCAGTACCCTGGTAGGCTGAGGCAGAGGGATCACAGATGGAGAATAGTTTGCACAACTCAAGGAAACCCTCCCTGAAAAACACTTTTTTTTTTAAAAAAAAACGCCTAGACCTAGGTGTGGTGGCACACTCCTGTAATCCCAACACTAGGGAAGCTGAGGCAGGAGGACCACCTCAAATTCCAGGCCAGTTTAGGCTCCACAGTGAGTTCAAGGCCAGCCTAGACTACATAACAAGAACCTGTCTCAAAAACAAACAAAAAAGGAGATGGAAGTAAGAGATGTGGCTCAATGGTTGAATGCCCCTGGGGTCAATACCCAGTATTTAAAAGAGGATGGGGGGGGTACCTAATATAGCTCACTGGTAAAGTCCTATCATATACGAAGTAATAGATTCAATCTCCTGGGGAAATAACTGCATAAAGCTAGGCATAATGTCACACACCTGTAATACAGCACTCAGGAAGCTGAGGCAGGAGGATTACAAATTCAAGGCCAGCTTGGGCTATACAGTATGGTCTTATTTCCCACTCCCCCAATCCCTCAAAAAACAACATATATAACACTATGCAGAGCCAGGTGTGGTGGCACAGGTCTGTAATCCCAGCATTCAGGAGACTGAGGCAGGAAGATTTCCATGAGTTCAAGGCCAACCTGGACTACTTAGCAAGATGTTGTCTCAAAACAGCAACAACAACAAAAAGAAAATGCATAAATAATAGAAATGTGGAAGCAACTCAGTTGTCTATGACCAGATAAATAGATAAGCAAAATGTGATATACAGTACAAAATATTATTATTTAGCCTTACAAGGGAAAGAAATTCTGATACTGTTACAACTTATAAGAATCTTGAAGACATGCTAAGTGAAATAAGCCACTGGTGAATACTATACTAGTGAACTCAAATGAGATACTTAAATCTGTCAAATTTATAGAAACAAAGTAGCATGATGATTGCCAGGAGCTGGGATGAGGTTGAGAATTGGGATGTTACAATTTAATGGTCACAGAATTTTGGCTTCTTTTCTTTGTTTTTTGTTTCAGTTTTCTGAAAGAAGGTACTTTGTGCTGGTCAGGCTGGACTTGGGTGTGTACCCAGGCCAGGCGCAAACTCTAGGTGATCTTCCTGCCTTAGCCTCCTAAGCACCGGGATTACAGGTGTGTGCCCCACCCTGGCCAAATTCAGTTTTGTAAGATGAAAAGAAATCCTGGAGAAGGATGGTAGTGATAG